CTAATATATGTAGAAGGTATTTATTAAATAATACAGAACTTATAATGAAAAGAAAAGTTACAAAGTACAAAAAGGCGTTTTTGTATTTACTGTACAAGCATGCAGGTTAACCATGACTCACACGCTATTCTTTATTTTTTGTGAACTCCTGGTGCCAACTACTTCCATCACGCAACACCTATTTTTGGATGTGCTACGCTTATTTCTGTTCACTTGAAGACTAAGAAGGAACATGACAGAAACTGTATACTAACTATCAAACAATAATGTTACAAAAGAAGCTGTGATGATAAATACAAAAACTTGGATTTTATTATTTTCTAAAACGCACAATATGATGTTTTTTGTAAAAGTGAATGCACTTCCTAGGAGGAGAGTAAGATGGGAGTTAGAATGAGTTATATATATGAGATGATGCATTGAAAGATTTATAAGCCTACAATTGGTCCGTAATCACAGAAATTTTAATAACCATTTTTTACTACTACTAAAAATATCCTCGTACATTTCAAGGAAACAGGACCTAGAGAGCACTAGGGTTGCGGTAGTGTCTCCTGGTGCTGTTTGAAGAAGAGTGCTGATTTGTACTGTTTATGTTTTACATTACTTTTTGGTCGATAGTTCGCACAAAGCTGTATCAGAGAATTGATTTTCTTAAGATATAAATGATATATTTTTGCAGTGACGTTGCATGATATTTACTAGTATTTCACTGTGAGAAAATATGATGTCAGCCACTTCAGGAAAAAGACCGTTCCTGATATTCAAATTAAAATAATTGTAGTGTCAGGTAAAACGATTTAATTTTCGGTTTATTTACTTTCAAAGTTTTACAATAAATACGTTGTAAACATTGTAGCAAGGACTGTTGTTAAAGCATTTTTTTGTATTTAAATTGATAAAAACATATGGATGCTGACTTCATCTTTTTAGCACGTTTAAATGCAAGCGAATTTATGTTTTACATCGTACGTAAGGTTACAATTTTGTTAGGGGTTTCTAGCACCCACCTTATAAAAATTATTTCGGCATCAACATTTCATTTTGTATGCGTTCCTTTTCATTATTGGTTTTATAAGATGTGGCAGCGAGAAAATTCAAACAGCTTTCATTTTCCAATAAAGAAATGTGGCTGGCTGGTTGCAATAAAAGTATAAACACATTCAAACAGCTTTCATTTTCCAATAAAGAAATGTGGCTGGCTGGTTGCAATAAAAGTATAAACACAATAATTGATGTTGAAGACAACAAGAATGAAGCAGCGGAAAATAAAAATAAAAAAAAACTTAATCCTTTACAAACCGACTTTAATGGTGAAGCAGCAGTAATAATGAGGGGTGTTTGTGTTGGTGTAAGAGAGGAGAAAAAATTAGCAGAACATTTGGTAAACAAGATCGACATACCTCTATAGAAACTAAAGAGTTGCATTATTAATATATTTGGTATAGTAGATCTTCTGTCCATTACTTACTGGGTAGTCCAGTCTATAATAATGTAAATGTTGTCCAGTTTTAATTTATGGTTTACCGGACAATATTATTAAAGGTAGACAGTGTACTGGTCCTTAATTGATGGCTATAACTCAAGAAATATTATCCTTACTGAGGTCTACCTCCTTTGCATGGTTAAAGTTTTAACAGTGTATCTTGTATGAAAGACGACCATAAACTCCAGAACAAGGTTATATTTATTTCACTCAACGTTTCGTTTCTAAAATTTATTCAGGAGCGACCTGCTGTACGTTGGATAAAATAGATACAACCTTAATTATTGTGAAGTTTATGGTCGTTTTTGTCATTATACAAAATGTCTAAGTTACTTCAGTCAACATTCATAGTAAGACAGGGTATTATGATCGTTGTTATACCAAAAAAGAAAAAAAGCAGTTCGTTTTTAAAGACGCTTACCACATGTAAAAAAAAAACAGTTCGTTTTTAAAGAGACTTACCACATGTCTTTTTGTTTGCTTGATATTAAGCATAAAACTACACAATGGGCTATCTGTGTTATGCCCACCACGGGTATCGAATCCCGGTTTTAAGCCATGAGTCAAAAAACAGCTGTTCATTTTAAAGACACTTAACATGTCAACGTATGTAATTGTGTTTCTTTTCTGATAGGTTCAAAACTTTCATAAATTACCATATTCATATAGTCTTATAGTGCAATCTGTTATCATATGCAAAATGTCATACCTCAAATTAAAAGTATACTTAGTATGGTTCTTGTGCTAACACTGTCTCTTCACAGCTTCTCAAAGTGTTACACATCATCCAACGATAAGCGCAACTCAAGAACGTATTAACAAAATAGTATTCTCAAGACGGTAATCGTGTGTGGCAGGTTTTGTTTTACGTCTTAATTTCAGTAAAGAGAAGACCAAAACAGCAGTATGTGGTTGTTGTTTTTACTGTAAAAAAAAGTCTAGTTTTTATTACACACCCTGCTTCGTCTTGAGTTCTGTGAACTAGCAACTCGAAAACTGTCAAGCACTCCGATTTGTTCGTCATGTGTTGTAGTTACTGTGTTACAGAATAATGAATGATGTATTATGAGAGTGGTGAGTAATCTGTATGAACAAGACGTTCAGTGAAACATCTTCCGACATGGAATCGTTTACTAAAGACCAATAATCGTGCCAAAACGGCACATAAAATTTAATCGCGTGACTTAGAAGACCCAAATTCTACGATTATTTGACTTAAAATACGCGCAGTTTTGTCAGATTAATGAACCAAACTTAGTTTCTTTTCAAATTCTATTCGTCAAGAAATATTCAGCAACCTGAATACTTCAGTAACATGGGTTAATTTAAATGTACGTACCTTCAGGTATATAAGAAAGGTTGTTAGTGTTCACTCTTATTACACTCTATGACATTCAGTATTCTTCAAAATCCACACCTGGTAGAAGTACATTCCAAAACTACAGTCCATTGTATGTTCAAAGGAAGCTGCTGAAAATAGTTCATTCTATTATAACAATCAATATCCTCGAGTCTCTCCCCAAAGACGGGAAACACGTTCGCCTTCTTTCTTATTTTCTTCTCCCATTACAGTCTTGTCTGGTTCGGATTCGAAGTAAATGCGTTTAATACAACTTTCAAATAAAACCCAGTAGTCAAAACAACCGACCTCCCCTGAAGTTCAAACACAACACTTAAATAGGTTTTGCAACACACATTGTAGTCTCCTGTTACATACGTTTTGTAATCATGAGAGCATTTGAACGAAACCTCAGTTGTGCGCCTGCTCTCAACTGGCACTGAGCCCTCTACCGGCGCAATCGGGATTCGTCCACTGGATCGTATCAGTCGGCATGTAGTAGTGCCAAAACCTCGGCTACTGAACCTGCATTCAGTTCGTCAAATAACGGGTCTCAACTCACATCTCTTTCAGACACATCCTTAAAGAATAGGATAGTATATAACATTTCTGTCATCTTTTTTTTCTCTCCACTCTCTCTCTCTCACTCGTTTTTCGTTTTTGATTTAAAGTTTCTGGTAATGGTTATTCGTTTGGTAACCTCAGTCCAAGAGTTGCCTACTGCTGTTATGAAATAGCAAGTCTTAGTAACAATAAGGCAGTGAAATTTCCCTTCAACTATGGACATAAATTCTAAATCACAGGTGTAACGCTAGATAATGAGGTCCAAGCATAATTAAAATACGTTCTAAAACAAGTAAGTATGTAACATCTCTAATCCTATACAATAAGCGCCTTCTTTCCCAGCCCTTATTTCCAATACTTTTTACTTGATTCACTTGTGCATCATTTTCTATCTAAAATCCTATACTATAAGCGCCTTCTTTCCAGTCCTTATTTCCAATAATTTATACTTGATTCACTTGTGCAACATTTTCCATCTCTAATCCTATACTATAAGCGCCTTCTTTCCTAGCCCTTATTTCCAATACTTCTTGCTTGACTCACTTGTGCAACATTTTCCATCTCTAATCCTATACTATAAGCGCCTTCTTTCCTAGCCCTTATTTCCAATACTTTTTACTTGATCGCTTTGTGTAACAAACTCTTTCTTTATCCTATATTGTAAGTCATTTCTTTCCTAGACCTTATTTCTGATGTTTTTCCCAAACCCCCTTGTTTGCGTTTTTATTTCTTATTCTTTTTCTCTCTTTATATATAAATCCTGGGTACTTTCTAATTCTAGAAGCTGCATCTTACGATTATACAACCTGCAAGTTAAAACAAGTTGAAAATCTTCTGCTTATGTATTCGAAAACTCTTTCACAACGCTCATGTCGTTCTCTTTTACTAAAACCTCCACCATGTTTTTTCTATTTTTTTACATTTAATTGAAACGTTCTCTTTCTCTAACCCTTCACTTTAACTTTCCTAACAATTAATTGTTAAGGCTCTCTTTCATTAATACTTTTAACTTTTTCCTAACTCTGCTCTGATTACATACTGTGTTATATAACGCGACCGTGCTCAAAATTATTGACACATTTCTCTTACCATTTTTTTTATTACAGTCTATCCTATTCCAAATGTTTTAATTGAGTATACCTAACAATATTTAAAGTCACATTCAATAACAATACACCTAACAATGCTGATAGTCACTTTATAAAAATATACCTAACATTGCTGAAAATCACGTTCAATAATAACATACCTAACAAAACTATAAGTTCAATACAATATACTTAACAATACTTTAAGTTCAGTACAATATACCTAACAATACTGTAAGTTGAATACAATATACTTATCAAAACATTAAGTTCAATACATTACACCTAAAAATGTTGAAAGTCACGTTCAATACATTACACCTAAAAATGTTGAAAGTCACGTTCAATAACAATATACCTAACGATATTGAAAATTACGTTCAATAACAACATACCTAAAAATGTTGAAAGTCACGTTCAATAACAATATACCTAAAAATGTTGAAAATTACGTTCAATAACAACATACCTAACAATGTTGAAAATTACGTTCAGTAACAACATACCTAACAATGTTGAAAGTCACGTTCAGTAACAATGTATTTAACAATACTGTAAGTTCAATACAATATTCCTAACAATGCTGAAAATCACGTTCAATAGCAATATAATTAAAAATGTTGAAAGTCACGTTAAATAAGAATAGACCTAACAGCACTGTAAGTTCAATATAATATACTTAACAAGGCAGAGAATAACGTTGGATATAGTATACGTAACAAGGCAGAAAATCACGTTCAATAACATTATACATAACAATACTGAAAGCTACGTTCAATAACAATATATCTATCAATAGCGCAAGTTCAATACAATATGCTTAACAATGCTGAAAGTCACGTTCAATAACAATATATTGACAATACTGAAAGTTACGTTTGGTACGTACAAACACAATATATTTGGAATTCACGCGAAAACAGAGTAAATATCTTAGTTGTAACGCAAAGCCTAGTAAAACTAGCAATTATATTTTCATTTACTCTACCAAAACTGAACCCAACGATATTCTTACCTGTATAACGAAATAACCATCCCTAACGTACTTGTAACCAACAATAAACGTAAATAGACCCACATTCTATGTCGTGAAAAAATATAATATAAAGAGGGCGCGAAGTGCCCTGCAGAAATTAAATCCTGTGCACACACATGTTCGTGATGACGTTGCACGGATCACGATTGACAACTGTTCTATGACAGTGGAATTAACTCAAGCTGATTCATATCCTGTCGTGACCCTAAAAGATGTTTCTTTTCATTCAGAAACGTGAATTGATTAGATGTATTGCATAATAGCTTTATTAATAAAGGAAATAAATTTTGAATGTTTTTTTTTTACATTTCGAAAACAGTAAGGACCAGAAAATGTAAATAAATTATTAATAGCCTGATAACCCGAGCATTATCGGAAAATAGGCTTTCCTTCATTTAAATGTATCCATGTAATTTTGTTTAATTACTTTGAAGAGAACAGGAGTATGTTGGTACCTAAAAGAGCTCTGTGCTCATGAACCTCCAAAAAGTTCGTTAAACCAGGAAGCTCAAAGAAACCCCAATTAAAACATGAGAAAATCACGAACATGTGAACAATTAACTGAAAAAATGAATAATTACTCATCATATTCTGAAACGTAGGAATGAAAACAATTCTAATCTGAAGTGAAATTTTCTGACGCTAAGAAGGTATAACATTGTTTAAAAATATGGGCATTTGTAAAGCTACTAAATACTGACACTAACAAGATATAACATTGTTCAAAAATATGGACATTTGTAAAGTAAAGCTACTAAATACTGACACTAACAAGATATAACATTGTTCAAAAATACGGACATTTGTAAAGTAACGCTACTAAATACTGACACTAACTAGATATAACATTGTTCATAAATATGGACATTTGTAAAGCATAGCTACTAAATACTTAATCCACTCATATTTCAATTTTGAATTCATCAAACCAAGTTCTTCATCTAATATCGTTTCTCTGGCAACAGGAAAAGCTCGATTTGGTTGAAAATACTTACGAAATCCCAATTAGATTGAAAATGTTGAAAATAATATCTCTATGTGACTGGAAATATTGTGATCATTTCATTTCAGCTTAAAAAATAATGGCCTTTGACCCCCATTACTCACTTTTAACATCTGCCATATTACGATGATAAACATAACTTTTTGACTTCTCTAGTTCACTTAATACATCTGTCAGCTTACATTGGTAAATATATCTCTATGACCTTTAGCCTTTCTAGTGCTCTCAACATGTGTTACTTTTCATAACATAGCTACTTGTACTCTAGCCTCTGTAGTTCACACAGCACATCTATTACTTTGCCAGATACAACTTGTTAAACCTATTCAATGTTTCTATACTCTGAAATTCGTTTAACTTACTGAAAGCTAGTGAATGGCCTAGCCATGAGTTTTACGAAAACTAAAAATAAGCAATAGATTGTTTGTTTTGCTTTGTTATGGATTTCGCGCAAAGCTACGCGAGGGCTATCTGCGCTAGCCGTCCCTAATTTAGCAGTGTAAGATTAGAGGGAAGACAG